GTCAGGTTTCAGGTCAGGGTTTCTAGTCAGGGTTCAGGTCAGGTTTCATGTCAGTGTTCTAGTCAGGGTTCAGGTGAGGGTTCAGGTCAGGGTCCAGTCAGGGCTCAGTAGAACAGTATCTTCAGACAGGATATCCTATTCCATAGAAAGCCTTTGACAGCTGTTTTTAGCTCACAGACCTCACTACCCCCCCACACACACCACCACCACTGCCCCCCCACACACACACATACAGAACCCCACCCCCACCTACACCCATTGTTGTAGAAAACAAGTTAGTAAATTTAACTCACAGTTTGTTCTGCTTGTAGACAGGAAGTCAGATGGTCACTCAGAGAACAGACCGTAGCAGAGAATCAGGCCTCCTGTTTTCTCCACCGTATAAAAAAGATCCTCTGACTCCAGACAGACGTTGCCTTCACTCTCGTCTTCAACAGCTCTGCTCTATAGATGAACTCTGAACTTGAAATTCATGTTAAGCCTCTGTTATCACCTGTACAGAGCTTGATTTCCCCTGAGCTACATGGAAACGGCCTCCCACAGAGCAAAGTCCACCAGAGACATTGTAAGAAGTGTGTGTCAAGTAGATTGAGGTACGAAGCCTCGCTACCTCCATACCATGTGACCACTTCAGGGAGCGGTTCAGATCACACAGAACTTCGACAGGCATTTAAAAAGCCTCAGTATTCAGTCAAGATGTGGGAGTTTTCTAGGGGAGCTGGATAGATTCTAATAATAGATTGGCTGTAAAAACAACCAATCTGGTTGGTTTAAACTATTTTGGTTTGATTAAACAATATAATAATCAGAATCTGAACAAGCAACTGGTTTCAGTTGAATTATTAGTATTTTCAGGTGTTGCTCTCTGAAACTGAGATAGTATTGTAATTGGTGTCTGCTGTCCTCAACGCGGCCGACCGATTAAAAAAAAAAAGCTTCAAAAGTAAAAGGCTTATCTAGATCTTGATTTGAAACTATTGCTTTGTTAGTGACTCCTGGATTTTCTTTACAACTCTTTATATCTTCAGATACATTTTCTGAACTTTGTACTTTAACGTTTTAGCTAATAGCTCTGCTTTTTCTTTATTACTAACAGCTATTTTCCCATTAAATTCTAGAACAGGAACCCTGACCTTACCCACCATTTATCTTCTAAATAACTCTCCATACCTCTGATAAATTTGTCATCCAATAGAATTAAAATCCTGCCTCCAACATGCTTTCTTAGTTGCTCTTTAATTAATTCAATGAATGCCTCAAAGGTATGGCAACTCCTCAGCAATCTAAAAGCTTTATTTCTTCCTCTTATAGCAGCACTATATTCTTCATTCCACCATGGAACAGACTTTTATTCCCCTGTTTGAGAAAGTGCAGTTTCATCTGCATAACAGATACAATCTCAGAGTTACTCCACATCACAATAAATAAGTTTCATCTATTTTTTTTTCAAACTGACTATTAACTAAATATTGAAATTATTCCCAATGAGCCCTTCTTAGTCTCCACCAGGGAATCAGTACTTCCTCTTCTTTAACTACTTCAGAACAAACTGATATTATAAGCAATAGTCTAGGTGTAAAATAAAAAAAGAAGGGGGATGGTGTATTTTTATTTTTTTTCTTCCATAGCCTAATTAATATATTCTATTACCCTAAAGCACTATGCATGGTCTGGTTGTTCCATGTCAGCTACACCAGTCATTGAACTTGATGTCATTCACACTCTGCTTTGTGTTTAAAAGATATAAATATATAAAATATAATGGTGGATGTCTGGGGGACAGTGATTGGCCTACATGTTAGGAATGCTGGCGTACCATCAATAATAAATTATGAACAGTTTAGTTTGTGCCTTCAAGTCGTTGCCCATAGGAAGACGTTACTTGGATATAACCTAACGGAATTTCTTCAGAAATGACACAAAACTCATACTCATGGGTGAGTAGAACATGATGTAATAACGTAAAATCAAGGGCCAAATGAAGGGGGATGCCCCCCAC